AAAAAAAAGTATTTAGTTGTCTAGTACCCATAGTACAAGCCTTGCTTAGTTTGGCCACGGTTTGGCACTAGAGGCGCAGTGTAAAATGTCCAAGGATATTTTTAATTTTTTAATTATTTATTTGCTGCACCATTATCAATAAAATATGACTAGTGTAGGCAAGATCCTCTATAAATTTACTCTTAACGAAGGCTAAATGATCTGATATTGATGATCGATTGAGAAAACAAGGCAAACTTGCCTGAACACTGTTATACATATTGTTTATCAATTTCAATTGACATTTACTTTACTGTTTAATATACAAAATAATTAATATTGACTTTATCATTACTTAATTAAGACCGTTTTGTCGACCAATTATTTACATAGTTGGACAAATAAATTAGTAATCATCAATTAAATACACCTATTCATTTGAGGGAAAACATATAAATTCCCAACAGCTGTAATTCATAACAAATAGATAAATTATGTACCCACACAAAATGAGTTCGGATTTATTTGACCCGTCTTGAAATCGAACCAGGGACCTTTCGAGAGTCACTGTATGTGTGTACCCCGCATTATCATCATCATCATCATATGATGAATTTCTACTGTGCGGGAATCGAACCCGCTACCTCCGGAATAGTAGTCCGTTTCGAACCACTACACCAAACGGCCGACAAGTTATTTGACTTATTTGTTTAATAAAAAAAAATAAAAAAATGTTTATATGAAGTCTGCGATTTATTGTGTACTTAAAAGTTTTGCTTACTTTGGGACTAGACGGCGAAGAGACGACATATTTATTTAAAAACCAGTCAATATTGATTTTAAAGAAACACTTCACTATCACAAATATTATCAAATCGGATCTATAAAAGTTATTGAAGTGGTTTTATTATTATTTCTGTGTACCAGCATAGCTGCACATAGTATTGTTATAATGATAACACACACAGGCAAATGTTTTTTATTTTTCAGTGTATTAAGTACAGGCATCAGATTAGACAATTACCTACTACTTTGTTTTTACGTAAATTAAAACGCTGGCTTGTTGGAGAGTGCTTTTATGACATGAAAGAATATTTTGACTTAAATAAACAATGTAAATGAATGTGTACCTGACAAGCATGTAATATTATTATGATTTTATTAATGGACATCTTTTTTATTTTAATCTATTTAATGTGACATTTTTGTAAAGTTTTTGCATGCCGACATTCGGTAGAGCACGCATGCACTTACAAACTGCTTTATGTATAATTTGAACAAATATGTACCGTGTCTCTTACGCAAATAAATGATTTCTATTCTATTCTATTCTATTCTATACCTAGGCACATTTTTGTTGAAAAATCGCCTCTATTACTTTATTCATAAGAAGCCACGGTGTTTGGCTTAACGTGCTGTCTTCATTTATTAGTATTGATCCGTTTAGATTAGTATTGTCGGCCGTTTGGTGTAGTGGTTCGAATCGGACTACTATTCCGGAGGCTGCGGGTTCGATTCCCGCACAGTACACACATTTGTGTGCATGAATATATTTGTTTGTATTGGACTGGGTGTTTTCTATGTATAATATGTATGTATTTAAAAAAAAAAGTATTTAAATATGTTTATATCCGTTGTCTAGTACCCATAGTACAAGCTTTGCTTAGTTTGGGGCTAGCGGCGCAGTGTAAAATGTCCAAGGATATTTATTATTATTATTATTTATTATTATCCATTGTCGTATGAACCTACTAGACGTTGCATAATAATAATGAGTAGGTACGGATGTAAATTTAATCACTCTAAGCATGTTTTGTCTAGCTCTATGACGTCACAGATACTCGATAAGTGCTACTTTGTATCGAGTAGGTATCAGTTGATATTGATGGCAAATATTTAGTTAGCGTCTTGGTGGGAACTGATTTTGGAATCCTTGTTTAGTTTATTGAGTAGGTACTGTAAACATCGCATCGGGCTATATTTCTGTTGGAAAATAGACCCTATCGCAATTAAATTAGGTAGCATTGTAAATAGCTTGATGTGCCGTCGTCTGTACACATCAACAAAATCAATATTTAAAATGCGATTGATGTTACTAATCGACTAACTATTCATTAATTTATGACGTTGTTGATATGCTCGTTCATATCAGATAACCAGATTCAAATATGCTAGTACAAAATACACACAGTTTATGTGTGACAATTAAAAAGGTATTTAAATTGGCCATAAATAACAAATTGGTACTTTAAAATAATTTAGTAAATAAACTGCAATATTTTCTTCTACTTGATAGAAATGAAAACAATGTAAAAACTTTACCTGGCTGCGAAAAGGTTAAGTTATTACGGTCATAAATTATTTTTTGAACAAAGAAATGAAAAAGTAGAGTCATCCATCGGTGTTATTTAAAATATGAGAGAATAAACTTGGGCAAAGATAAGATAGAGGCTAAGACGGGCAGACGGGTTGATAAGGCTTATTCTGAAACAGCTGACAGCTGCATGCATGCAAGCTTAAACATCAGGCCAGATCCATAAGCATCAGGCCATCCTAATGGATCTGGCCTGATGCTATCTGCATCCATCCAGCCCTAAAGCTGTGTACATAGTAATTAATATATTTTTCTCTAAAAATAAATATTTTTATTTTATTAACATTCATACGAGTACGAGTAAAAGTCACAATTAGTTCCTTGTACATTTTTTAAACAAAGCAGTGGTAGGGTTAATACTGGGACCTGTAAAAGAGCTTTTTAAAAGCCTACTTGCAAAAATAAAATGAGTTTTTTTTTTGTGACAGGAGGCAAACGAGCAGACGGATCACCTGATGGTAAGTGATTACCGTTTTATGAGTTTTTTATTAAACACAATGTTTTCGGATTTTTCTCTCTGCATACAACGCTTGAAGTATTTATCAACTTATAGTTTATTGCTATTTAGAAACTGCAAAATAATAACTTAAAATGTTATTTTCAATGAAATGGAACGTGATCTTGTACGAGTAGTACGCGAAAGCGTAAGACAGATCCATTTGCGATGTTCGAATAATAATTTAATTATGACTGGTTTTAATTACCAGTCTTAATTAACTACACTGTTATATTATTATTATCTTATATGAAATATTGAGTGTCGAATAAGATATGAATTCTTTTGAGCCTTTCAGACGTGTCTCACTAGTGAAAGTGTGGTTTTATTTATTTATTATTTTGGGAATATAATAAAGAGTCGCCAGTACCTACTTATTCTTTTGTTTTTCTAGATTAATCAAATCACTCTAAAAACATTTTCATGTAAAATGTTGCCAAGACGAGACTCTAGGTTGGCGAAAATGTCATCAGATCTTAATGACTCATTATTATACTATGGTAGAGTCAAGCTTGTGACTCTGCGAGTGTTATCCCTAACTACGTAACCTACTCTACCTTAGTCAAAATATATGACATGGCAGATGATAGAGGTCATTGACTTTTGGCTATGTTTATATTTGTGTTTTAGTTACATTAAAATATATGAAATATGTAAACATATACACTTCATTAGCCTATAATTTAACCGTTAATTGAAATAATTGGTGTTAACATGAAAACCGTGGTCAAGTCAAACCAAATTATACCATAACCGCTAGACAGTGCGCCTAAAAACTTTACTCAAGGAAAATGTACCACATGCAAGATAATGTATGGCATAATACATTTTTATGCTTATTTTCCTGTAGAGTCCTATAATTAATGTAAATTATATAAAAAATACTGAAAGTCACTTCATTTTTCAATTCTTACGAGCTTTAATTTTTCTTGAGTTTAATTTGCGTCATTTGATTTTTCCAGTTGTGTTTTACATAATGTACCTACTAACATCATGTATGTAATTTAGTTTAGCAGTGACAGCTAAACCGCAAATACTTGTGTACTTGTTTATTATGTACATACTAGTAGGTACGAGTAAATTTAGACTGAATGTGTACCTGCGTAATTTTTTACATGCCCTCCGTTCGATATAAATAAATAAATAAATAAATAAATATCCTTGGACATTTTACACTGCGCTTCTAGTCCCAAACTAAGCAAAGCTTGTACTATGGGTACTAGACATAAAATATATGGAAAATATTTGACTTTTAAAACTACCGTGTAGATTACCTACTGAAATCCTTTATGGTTGTTCATTCATTGCCTGTTTAACTTACTAGCCATAACAATCTAGTGACACAGTAATTTTAATCAATATTTTCGTATCCGCCGCTTGCAACCATTGTTTACGCATAAACCATTGTTTTAAATTAACAGTATGTTGAGAAACCAGACCTCAGGTATACAACAAACCTGAAGTGAGGTTAATAATCTTAAAATATGATGAAGAGCTTCGAAATGATGAACAGTAACCATTGAGCGAGAGTGAGATAGCAATAACTCTACATTTTCAGATTAAATTTTTACATTCGTTATTTTTATTCGATTTACTCTACTGCATTTTTTACGCATTAATTTTAGAATGTAGCGAAAAGTCCACTATCATTCACATTCTCAAGTTTCAGTTCAAAGACACTCAGCTGTCCGGGAATAGTCCCACCTTTCGTTCCCTGCAACTCCTGTGTAGCCAGAATCTACAGCTTGACCTCCAATAAAATCCTAACGAATGAAGGTCAAGTTTGTGCTGTACCGACCTAGAATCGAATCACGACCCCTCAGATGCGTAGCAATTTTTCCACCAAGCTATGCTTCTATTCTAACTAATCGATATCACTACAGGGCATTTGAATACAACAAAGTTCCCAGTTTAACAACTTAAAGTTACTATAAATGATTGTTTTACCCGTAAACAAAGAAAAACTTAGTTAAACTTAACTTTTCCCCAAAATAATGTTGTTATCTGGCCATTTGTAACCAAGCACGCTATTGTAGGTACTCCTATTAAGTCTAGACTGTCGCATCGTAAATAATGTTCTCGGATCGATCACCGCAGCTCTATATTTATGCAAAAACAGCGCATACAAATATTACGTTATCAAAACCTTACCGCTTACTGCGCCGGCCGCCAACAGAAGCAAGCAAATCCAGTATTTCTCCATAGTCAACCACTAACACATTCTATTTTGAAATTACAAACTTTACACTAAATATTTTATTCAAAACACGACCGTTCCTCACAATTGCGGAGTTGCGACTGACGCGTATTCGACGCAAGCGCATGTTTTTTGCCCAACCCTAATTCCAACGCAATAAGGTCGAGAATGACATAGTGAAGTAGTGATAAGGTATCAGAGATAGTGTTTATATTCGAGTGTTAAATTGGTGATGCTATTTTCTTTGTTTTCTTATTGCTCGATAATAATGTGTGAGCATATTTCACATTATTGATTAGACCTTATAAAGTAAAAAACATACTTAAATACACTCGAATAAGAGGAATTTTCATGAAAATAGAGTGTTTTACCCAACCCGTCTGGCCAGCTGGGGAGTGTAGACCAAATCCTCCATTTGCTTCTAGTAAACTGGAGAAGGTTATGCTCCTCAGTGGAGACTAATGACTGATGATGATAATGATGATGATGATGATAGAGAACATTTTCATGTAACATAGAATGAATAAATAACATTTTATAGTATAATAGTTACCAAACTCTGTTTGTTCTATGTTTTCCATGTGGCAACAAAATAAAAGTTTTCTATTCTATTCAAAACATCTAGCTAATAGTATGGAAAACATTGCCATCGTATGTTAGATTTACCAAATAGTATAGACAAAGTAGTAGACTCAATAGTAAAGTGGGTACTTATTGGTAACATAGTAAGAATATTACAACAGTTAAAATAAACCTCTTTACTACGTGAAGACCGCCTGTTGGTAAGCGTAGATTTCAATGCCAGTTGCGGTTGCGGGTTTACAGCCTAGCGGGGGCAAATGAAAGAGGTAGAGAGGTAGGTAACGTATACATAGCTGTGTCGTTACTTCCGAATATAAATGCTTTGACAAACTAGGTTTCTTCCGCCACTACTTCTCAGCATCAGACCATAATGTTGTGTTAGGGTAAGCTATATTTGGGACGTGTATAAGCGCCCTGGAAAGGGCCTAATTACTAAATAAAAGCTTTGACTTTGTGTAAAAAAGAGAGTATAAAAACTTCATGTTCGTGCTCTACATTTTTAGTATAATCTGAGCCAAATTTCCCAGCCGAAAGAAATTTCGTCTGTGTTATAATTTGGCTACTAAACTACCGTAATTCAGCATACTGCACTACGATTTGACCTTGTCAGCGAACAACGGACGACCGAGTCAATACCGCCGGGCAATGTTGTAAACAAGGTATTATGTAAAAAGTACTGAAAGAGAATAAACTGTCTTAGTGATATCAAAATTGTTTTCCTTTGCAATGTTTTTCTGGGGATAAACCGAACCGAAACCTTGCCTCTTCTTGATGGAGTGGAGGTTTTTGACGCTTACTCTACTTATTAATGAATAACTATTTTACTACCTACGTTTCTTTCATCCAAATGTTGTCCACTGCTGGACAAAGAGCTCCCCCAAAGATTTCCATAAAGACCGGTCCTTCGCCGCCCGCATCCAGGTTCTTCCCGCGACCTTCACCAGATCAGTTTATTTAGGTGTCTCTTATTCATTTTTGAGTCAATTACCTAATTCTGTATTTGTCTGCCATCCCTAACCTCTACTTTCACGGCAGCCAAACTCTACATCTCCGCCTCTATCTATAGTGCCTACTTTATATTTTTTTTTATAATATACTAACGTAATATTCCAATGGTTATGGTTATGTAATTTGTATTTTGTACCAAAAAATATTTTATTTCTTTCTATAGTGATCTCCTTCACAGTTCCAGTTCATTTACCTCTTCTATTACAGGTACATTTGGAGTCAATGTTAGTACTTAGAACTTGTTTGTACATTTACCAACGTCTATTGGTCCGTACTACACAGACAACCATCTGTGCAAATAACGTCATGCTCACAAACTATGGTTTTGAATAATGCGACGGTTTTAACAATGCAAGTCTGTCAATAATAATTGTGAATGAATGTGAAAAATGAGCGAGTCAGACACTACTCGTGTTTACTGTGACTCATGTATGATAATTATTTTTAACAGACTTCTTATAAATGTAGTTATTTTACTCGCGTACCTACTTGGCGCATTTTTTGAGGACAAATATTTCTTACCATACTGAAAGCCTAAATACTTACATTATGAATTTTCTAGACAAATGATGGGTCTCTCATCATTTCACCCCTTCAAGATTCTTTACGAGTCGTAAATTACGATAAAAAATACAGATACGAAGGATCTCTACTTCATTTCCGACACTGGACTCTCTCAAAACCTTAAGAAAGAGAGAGAGAGTGTGTGAAGAATTTTCTTCATCATCATCATTTCGCGCCTCCACTCCAGAACCTTGCTATCCCATCGGCAGTCAGTGCTGCGTACTATGTGCCCTGCCCATTGCCACTTCAGCTTGCTAATCCGTTGGACTATGTCAGCGACTTTAGTTCCTTAACGGATCTCCTTATTTCTGATTCGATCTGGTAAAGAATTTGATCTCGTAAAGAAGAATTTTCTTACAATCCCTCATCTTCTTATCTTGGTTATAAGTAGCCTATCTTTCTAGCCGTTATTCTATTTACGCATTTAGACTCTATACAGGGTGGAAACGATAAGTGATCTCACTCGATTATCTCTAAACTACACAAGATATTGAAAAACTGGTTACTGATCCTGAAAGAGCTTCACGAGCTCTTTCTAACGGTATCAGTAATAGGTTAGGGGAGACCTAGGAGAGTTGTGACAATTTTTACTTTAGGGGCCATATCTCGCTCAAAAAACATTCCACAGCTATGAATCATACAAATTAATGTAGCGCCGTTCCTTCTGTTTTCAAAACAATCACCAAAGTTAACTAAAGTATTGGGGTTTCTAAGAAAATCACCAAAATCTTAGACCACTCCCTCTGTCACAACTCTCCTAGCACCGAGGTAAGTTGTGACAGGTACCGAGGTGAGTTGTGACAGCATTGTATTCCATCTATTAGATATACAAAATACCATAATACTCAATGAAATTTGTTTTTTTTTACCAAAAAAGTACTTTAATCATCCTTAAGTACCAATTAAAACCAATAGTTATAGGATGTCGTTACACAGATTGAGCCACATTTCTCCAGCTTTCATTTTTCTCCCACGACACTGTATTTTTTTAAATTATATTTTTTAGCTAATATTATAGATATATTTTCTTCCTCTTCTGTAAAAATAAAAAAGTCGCGGTGGTAAAATCCATAGACGGAGCATCGCCTTCTGGATTTACTTGATAAGCCTCTTTCTTTTTAATATATCTTGACAAGTTTAGATTGTAAGAGGTCGCAGCATATCTTAAACTTTAACCCTTTAACCTAATCACTTCATAAGCCAGTCATAAGTTCATAAGCCATAAAGTCCTAGATTTCGACTTTAGCAAACAGTTCCTCTATATGGCTTTCATGTATAGTTATTAGGCATTCTGAATCAAAAGAGTAACAGCATGCAATTATACAAATTATGAACCTACTAACACACAAAAAAAAAACGTCTAAAAACATCGTGGAAATGGCCCATCAGAAAAATTCAGTAAGCTAGGAGAGTTGTGACAGCCTGTCACAACTCTCCTAGGTGTTTAAAATGACGACTTGGTTCGAATAATAATTTTTATTTTCTAAACACGATGCGCACACAAAAGATCAGTGCTACATTTTGAGACCTGAATAACCATGCAACTTGTGAAAAAATAACACAACAGAAATACAATTTTGAAGATAAACTTACTTTTCGCATTTTTTTGTACACAGACGTCATATTCACGTAACCGTGCCTCTTGCGCCGCCCGCAGGTACTTAGTCAAGAAGAGCGTCTTAAATGCGACAAACCAGCGTTTTTACCAGCTTCCTAACTATATTAAGTAAGGAGAAATCGTCCTTGTCACAACTCACCTCTGTCACAACTCTCCTAGGTCTCCCCTACAGAATTAACTGGATCTATCCGAAAATTCAATGATTTCAGCCTCCATACTAAATGTATGCCAGCCACACAATATGAAAAGTGTAATTTTTTTTATTAAATAATAAACACTTAAAATGAACTCGTAAATTGCATTCTTATTTAAAATAAGTCACGGAAAACATTGGTTCTAGGCTTTAGTTGCTATAATATTATCAAGACATAAGTGCCATGACTATGGCAGTACTAAATGTACGGAAGTTGGAAACATTGAATTTTCGGATAGATCCAGTTTATTTTGTAACTTATTGTTGGTACCATTGGATAGAGCTTGAGAAGCACTTTCAGGATCAGTAACCAGTTTTTGGATAGCTTGTATAGTTTTTAATATTAAGTGGTTTTACTAAATGTATGGAAGCTGGAAACATTGAATTTTCGGATAGATCCAGTTTATTTTGTAACCTATTATTGGTACCGTTAGATAGAGCTCGTGAAGCAATTCCAGGATCAGTAACCAGTTTTTCGATATCTTGCATAGTTTAGAAATAATCGAGTGAGATCACTTATCGTTTCCACCTTGTATAGCTCACGCTACGTGCGGGTCAGCTGATAACCCCAGCTTTCTGAAGATGATTTGTTTATTAATTCTCAACATTCCACCAGCTCGCACTAAGCGATTCGATTGCTCTTAATGCGAACAGCTAGGGACTGGAATTCGCAGCCTCCTGTTTTTTTTTTTTTTNAAATAACCTTTGCATGGAGAGAAGACGCTGAGAGATGTACTTATTTTTAAGGGCAGGACACCAGACTCCTGCCCCATAGCAGATAATAGGTTCTATCACATGTTCGTATATAGTTTTGACGTTATCTGGATGGACGCCCCAGGTAGGTCTTATGATCAAACACAGTTTTTTATACAGGGTCTTGACTTTGTTTATGGCATAGTCGACATGCTTGGTAAAGTTGAGACGTTTATCAATTATTATTCCCAAATATTTGATATTGTCGGTGTAGTTGAGTCTTGCGCCGTTCATAATTAGCTTGCACTTGGCTGCTTTATTTGTGAAGGCGATTTGTCTTTCCCGGGCCTTTTCAAGGCGAGAGTGAATAAGCACTTCTATGGCAGATATATATCATCCTAGACAGCATCTCACTTAACATCAGGTGCGATTGCGATCAAAATATCTGCCTTCTTCTGCATAAAAAAAGGAACGAGTAGTATTTCTCGTACCGGACGTAGGATCTCTACTCTCAGAACCTTTAGAGTGGAGAATGTGAAGAATTTACTTACAACCCCTCATATTTTCATCTACGTCTTAAGTAAGTCACTATCTATCTTTCTAGCCGTTATTCTATTTATGTATTTAGACTACGTGGACAGTCGGGTCAGCTGATAACCCCATCTTTCTGAACATGTGTCGTTTCAATATTTATGTTATTGCTAAAACAGCGGGATTCCCGGGATCGGTAAATTACTAGGAATTATTTGTATTAGCCAGCCGCGGATTTCACATTACGTATTTTAATGAATTTAGTCAATCAAAAAAACATGTTATTACCATTAAAGAAATATGTACTTACTTAATTGTAATCTTATCCATGTTTGCATCGTTTTGATATCTTTTATTACGGATAAAAACGGATCACGAGTTTTCTTTGAAACCGATAAAGTAACTAATACCTACTTATTAATTAATTACAAAATTCGAGTAACTTACTTTTTACATTATCAATCTAAATAGAGAATACTGTGGCATTTTAATACGTACTTACAAAGATCTTGTATACATTTATATCGATACTTATTCAAATACTTACAACTAAACAGACGTGACTCTACCTTATGCTATTATTAGCAAGTTACCTATACCTAATTGATTAATATACCCTAGATCGTTTCCAAAATTATTATTTCCATTGTTTTATTTAGTAACAAACTTTTTTAGTTCATTTGTACCATTTAACTATGCTTTTACAGTTTCATGAAATAAAAATACCTAACATACTCGTATTGTGCTTTAGCGCCATCTATTCATCACCATTGGTATCAAGTGCTATCAGTACCTCTAGTAGGAAAAACTTTCGAGTTCGTTTCGTTGCGTATTCAAAGTGTCATCGAAAAATTTTGTATGAAAAATTAAACAGCGCCCCCTATATTATAGCCGCCCTAGGGGGCGCTGTTTAATTTTTCATACAAAATTTTTCGATGACACTTTGAATACGCAACGAAACGAACTCGAAAGTTTTTCGTACTAGAGGTACAGAACATATAGATGACCCACGCTGAACTGTCCCGCCAAACTCAATGACAGGGGGGCGCTACCATCGTTCAACTATATGGTTTCCAACATGGCAAAAATCTGAACCAGCGATCCGGTATTGACGGTGGCGCCCCACTGTCAATGTCATCGACAAGACAGTCCAGTATTTTGGAACTATAACACGCGAGTGCCTTGTTTTGTTGGTAGGATATTCTAGTAGTAGTTAGATCAGCCAGTATCACTAGATGGCGCTATGGTAATAAAAGCTATGGATTGTTGACGGCTTTTCAGGATAGTAAGCTTTTTACAGCGCTCGAGCTTTGAAAGGGACTTTTTCTTGCAAGCTTGGAAACTTAAAAAAAAAAAACAAATTTTAATTAATTAAATATTTTATTATTTTTGTGCTGTAAAACTATTATTGTACTTAAAGTTATTAAAAATTGAAGTACCTACCCTCCATAATCTTTTTAAAAGTGTAAGGTTTTAAATGTTATTTATTTGTAAGAGTTACAACTTCAACAATTTTTTCAGCAATTAAAAATACCTTTTAGGTTTTTTTATATTAATTAGGTAGGTTACCTATTTTAAAACTTGTATTCCTAGAGGAATAAAAAAACATTTGTATAAAATACATTACTTTATAGGTAGTAGGTACCTAGGTATCTATGTACTATGCTATCAGTTGATTTACGTCAACATACATAAATAACGATAATTGAATCGCTTCCTCATACGCCACGCGATATTTTCGATATCGCGAACCTTGTCAGTTCACGGGCTTCGGCCTTGCTTCAAGGATTCGGCCTTGTCCGAAGACTGCGGCCTCGGCGAGGTCGCGGCCTTAGGGACCGAGGCCGCGTGACGTCACGGCCTTTTGGCGAATGACGTAGCATGTAATGGAGGGAGATGAAATAGGACCGTTGATGGTTTGGTAATAATTTCGTTTTATAATTAAAAGTAGAATTGTTTAAGAACTTTTCCAGCAGAGTTACTAACAGCTGTAGCTGATAATTACTTTATTTTATAAAATTACTAGCTTTCCGCCCGCGGCTTCGCCCGCATTTTGTCTGTCACAGAAATTTTTTATCAAAAATCTGTTTCAAAAACCGGGATAAAAACTATCCTATGTCCTTTCCCGGGACTCAAACTATCTCTATGCTAAATTTCATCAAAATCGGTTCAGTGGTTTAGGCGCGAAAGAGAGACAGACTGACAGAGTTACTTTCGCATTTCTAATACATATTAAGTATAGATTAAGGTGGAAATTAGATAACATTGTTTTTTTTTTATGTGCCAGGAGGCAAACGAGCAGATGGTTAAAACAGAATTGTGTGCGGTCTATGAATAGTGACGGATTGGTATAATAATGGTGCGTAAGGTGTTGTGATGTTACTGCTTGCATTTGTACTGGTGGTGACAATGACGCACACAATAAGGAATCGCGGACGTTCTTGTAGATACGGTATCTAGAGTGACGTCACAAGTTTTACAATAATTACAATACAGTTACTTACTGATGACGTGCTTTATCGTTTATACTTTATAAGTAAACACGAAACTTCAAGATAAACACTAGTATATGTATATTATATGCAGTTGTGATAAGTGCAATTAAGCTTCAAAAATGTTTGATGTGGTATCGATTGGCTTATTATTTATTACCTTATTCTTAGTCTCTCTTCGTCGTCTCTCTCATTCTGAGTGAAATAGATGTAAACGGACGTTCATATAGATATTATTGACGGAATAGCACACCCACTGTTAAAAAAACTGTTTTTAAAATGAAATACTAAAATTATAAACATTAATTTTTTAAAAACATCCAAAAATAGTAAAATGATAAAAGAAACAAATAATACCTATCTATAAAATAGTTTTTATAATAAGTAAGTACTAGATAATCTGTAAATGATGGTAACTTCAATTTTTTTACACAATTTATGGAACACCATGCTAAATCATTACCTACTTATACTTAATTATTATGTCACAAATAAAATAAATTGGAAATAATCACCACAATAATATTTTTACATTTAAATATAAGTAACAATACAAATAAATAATAAACTTTAAAAAATACATGATCGTTGTTTGACATTAATTAGTAAAATCAAGCGTATTTTGAATACTTTTACTAAAATTAATATAATTTGAGTGAGTCAATGAAAATTTGGAGGAAAGATTGAACACATTTCATTTCATTATACACAAAAACTTTAGAAACAAGCGATGGCACTTAAAGTAAATAGATTTATGTTACATTGTTTCGTCTCTTATATAAAATTAACTAACTTGTTATAATAACATTTTCTTACTAGTATGGTAACATCTTTTTTATATTTTACTCAAAAACCTTAAAAATAGTATGCAAGGCATCTGGCAAGTAAGATATTAATATGAACTAATAGATTATAGTAATTACAGGCAAAATCAAATTATTTAATATTTAGATAATCAATAAAAATGTCATGATGGGTACTTAACAAACTAAAAATTCAAATGATAGTAATTTTGTTTATTTAGTACAATAATTTAATTATATTTATTACTTCTAATTGTATTATGTAATTATATTCTTTGTAACCAAATTACATTTACTTCTAATTGACTACACAAGATAAAAAAAGATAAGTAAATACCGTAGTCAGAGATATTTTTAAAACTTAGTGCTAATTTTCCAATCGCCAAATAACATAAAAGTAGAATTTAATTGACTTAAAGTAAATAATAATTTATTAAAAAACTGTCAAAATACAAAATCCTTCTTATATTAAGTGGCGATTGAGAAGTTAAAAACCTACCTTTTTTTTTTTGTAAATTAATAAATAATTATTTAATTAATTTTGAACACTAAGAAAGGCATCTCGGTTATCGTTTATTCAGTAACTTTTCCTCTTTCATAAACAAATTATTCTGTTAAATGTGGAAATCATTGGAGGAGGCCTAGATATTCAGAGAACTGAACGTACTGTGGCTGAAATGATGATGATGATGAAAAATTTTTCGCGGCACCTTAATTCTGCTTAAGTTATTATTTTCCAATTACAGTTTAGCTACAATCGGTCCAGCCGTTTCGAAGATTAGCCGGAACGAACAGAAAAATTAAAAATGTGTATTTTTACGGCTGCTGGGCCAAGATCCATGATGTGGTCAGACTGGACAGTTCGCTTGCCTCCTTTAGACAAAGTTAATTTATGACAGATGATACATTTTTGTCATCGCTTCATGATCGCAAAGCGAAGTAACATAGCACCTACTTAAAAATGTAGAGCCAAGAGATTCTGGAATTAAAACATTCACGAATGTAACTTTACTGAATGCTTTTATTAATGTCTCTTCTATCTAAGTATACTATCTTTACTAAGTTCTTCATTGAAGACTCTATCACGTAGTGGAGCCGTTTGAACCAAGGCAGAGGCGAGATGACGGTTGAACATGAGACGATGATTTAACGATTAGACGACTTGACTCCTCTCATTTCATCTCCACCTTGTTATAAAACGGACCAACTGTACTAGCAACCAGCGAAACATGACCTCCGAGCCGCTTAGAACACCTCCTTCCTGAAGTTGAACCCGAACTGGTCGCACTTGACCCTCAGCACGCGCGCCAGCTGCGGCGGCCCGCAGTAGAACACCGTCACTTTGCCCTTGTTCTGTTCCTGGAGTTGTTTGAACACTTTGTCCCAGTTGGGGCGGCCTGCGTTTGTCCTGGTCTTCAGGCCCGTGATGAGGTCGCGCTTTTCCTGATGATGGAATGGCAGAAATATAGTAGCAAAGAAAATGCAGGGTCATTCGTTTCGTTTGATGAAGGGAACAATGAGGGGCTACCTTAATGCGCTAGTAAGCACAAGCTAGTTGGCGTTACTGTGAGCGCGTAGTTTTCTGCCAGAATCGAACCCGCAGCAGTTCCTAGCATCGAATGGCTCAATGACCAAATCACCAAATGCGACGCGAGACCGAAAACAACAAGCCATAACTTGTCACTGGCTATGGTCTTCAGTCGTAGTCATGATCTATGTCTATCCCATCCTTTAAAAACCTGATAGATTTTTATTTGTTTTCAGATCTGCCCTGCTACCTGCTACTTCATCATGATCGGGAACAGTCCCAAAGGAGGAGGAAACTTCCTTGCTAAACTGAAACTGTGATTGTTTTGTGATTGCCCTGTCTTCACCTGGATTTAGATGGTAATTCTTCCCTTATCCCTTCCCAACTTTTGTCTTACCCCTACAAAAATACAGTACCTTTTCGTGCAGCAAGTCGAGGGCTAGCTGCAGACCAACGGCCTTCATATCAGTGCGCTGTAACGCGCTCGTGATATACATGTGCATCTCCAGGAACCGCTCGCCGCCCAGCTCAGCTTGTTCCATCTCCAGCTGGGACAGGAGGGACACGAACCACTCAAATGAACGCTGCTCACGGTTGATCCAGAAGAAATCCACCTGCAAAATCGAGTTGTTAAAGGGAGCGCTGTATTATTATCGTTTATTTTGTTTGTATGTGTGATACGTTGGGTATTCAATTGGTTTAAAATATTAATAAAAACACACCCCTCCCATACCTCCCTACTTCTAGAGATAATATATGAACTAGCTTGACCCGATAAAGAAATTTTAAGAAAAAGAAGAACCATAGATGGCGTCTTACAAATAGTTGCTTACTATGTAAATAGATGGCGCTAAATTGTATATTTAATTGGTTTACAACAATAATAAAAACACACCCCTCCCATACCTCCCTACTTCTAGGGATTGTCTTTATTAATAGCAGCACACGCAGATGTAGCGCCATCTATGGTTTGATGTATGAACTAGCTAGTCCTGATAAAGTGAAGAAAAGGAGAACCATAGATGGCGTCTTACAAATAGTTACTTACTATGTAAATAGATGGCGCTTAATTGTATAATTAATTGGTTTAGAACAATAATAAAAACACGCCCCTTCCGTACCTCTTTACTCCTATAGATTGTCACAGCAGCATACGCAGATGTAGCGTCATCTATGGTTTAATGTATGAACTAGCTTGTCCCGATAAAGAAGTTTGAAGAAAAAAATTAAAAATAACCATAGATGGCGTCTTACAACGCAGATATAGCGCCATCTATGGTTTAATGTATGAACTAGCTTGTCCCGATAAAGAAGTTTGAAGAAAAGGAAGAATAACCAGAGATGGACAACGGAAATGCAGCGCCATCCATGGTTTAATGTATGAACTAGCTTATTCCGATAAAGAAGTTTCAAGAAAAAGAAGAACTATGGATGGCGTCTTACAAATAGTTACTTACTATGTAAATAGATGGCGCTTACTTGTGTATTTAATTTGTTAACAAAAATAATAAAAACACACTCCTCCCGTACCTCTTGTCCTAATAGCAGCACACGCAGCTGTAGCGCCGTCTATGGTTTAATTTATGACGCGCAGCTGTAGCGCCATCTATGGTTTAATTTATGACACGCAGATGTAGCGCCATCTATGGTTTAATTTATGACGCGCAGATGTAGCGCCATCTATGGTTTAATTTATGACGCGAGGCTGTAGCGCCATCTATGGTTAAATTTATGACGCGCAGCTGTAGCGCCATCTATGGTTTAATTTATGACACGCAGATGTAGCGCCATCTATGGTTTAATTTATGACGCGCAGATGTAGCGCCATCTATGGTTTAATTTATGACGCGAGGCTGTAGCGCCATCTATGGTTAAATTTATGACGCGCAGCTGTAGCGCCATCTATGGTTTAATTTATGACACGCAGATGTAGCGCCATCTATGGTTTAATTTATGACGCGCAGATGTAGCGCCATCTATGGTTTAATTTATGACGCGAGGCTGTAGCGCCATCTATGGTTAAATTTATGACGCGCAGCTGTAGCGCCATCTATGGTTTAATTTATGACACGCAGATGTAGCGCCATCTATGGTTTAATTTATGACGCGCAGATGTAGCGCCATCTATGGTTTAATTTATGACGCGAGGCTGTAGCGCCATCTATGGTTAAATTTATGACGCGCAGCTGTAGCGCCATCTATGGTTTAATTTATGACACGCAGATGTAGCGCCATCTATGGTTTAATTTATGACGCGCAGATGTAGCGCCATCTATGGTTTAATTTATGACGCGAGGCTGTAGCGCCATCTATGGTTAAATTTATGACGCGCAGCTGTAGCGCCATCTATGGTTTAATTTATGACACGCAGATGTAGCGCCATCTATTGTTTAATGTATGACGCGCAGATGTAGCGCCATCTATGGTTTAATTTATGACGCGCAGATGTAGCGCCACCTATGGTTTATGACACGCAGATGTAGCGCCATCTATGGTTTAATTGATGAACTAGCTTGTCCTGATAACGAAAGTTAAAAAAAAGAAGAACCATAGATGGCGTCTTACAAATAGTCAATAGAAGGCGCTAAATTTAAAATTTAATTGGTTTATAACAATAATAACAACACCCCTCCCACACCTTTCTATAGATTGTTTTGATAGCAGCACACTCAGATATAGCGCTATCTATAGTTTAATGTATGTACTAGCTTGTCCCGTTAAAGAAGTTTGAAGAAAAGGAAGAATAACCAGAGATGGCGTCTGACAAATAGTTTCTTATAGTGTAAATAGATGGCGCTAAATAATATATTTAATTGGTTTACAACAATAATAAAACACACGCCTCCCCTACCTCTCTGCCTCTATAAATTGTCCTAATAGCAGCACACGCAGATGTAGCGCCATCTATGGTTTAATGTACGAACTAGCTTGTCCTGCTAAAGAAATTTGAAGAAAAAAAGAATCATAGATGGCGTCAACCAGAAGGGATAACGCAACCTACCTAACGCACCTCCGTCCGTAGTCATACAGTGAAATGAAAAGTCCTGTCAAATGTATTAAAACTGGATAGGATAAGGATTGATCAGTAGGAAGAATGAAGCTGGGAATCCAGACTCTGCTACTGTTCCGCAGAACTTCGACTTGGAACTCGGCCCCGTAGAGGAACTAAGCACATTCAGTCGGCACCTCGGACTCGGAACTCGGCCTTCGGAACTCGGTCTCGACAACGAACGCGGAACACTTGGCCAGGAACCTTGGGTCACGGAACTCGGCCTCGGAGCTCGCACTGTGTTACTTCAGTGTGCTTACCATGAGTTTACGTAAGGTGAGCTCGCTAGCGAATACGTCAAAAAATTCTATGAAGATTTTATTTCTTGAAAGTAGCCGCTAGAGGCGCTGCACAATATGTCATACATTTAAATGTCATTTTTTTACGCAGTCGCTAGCGAGCTCACCTAACGTAAACTCATGGTAAGCACACTGGACCGTCTGTTTAGAGCACGGAACCAGTCTCGGAGCTTTGGAACTTGAACAGAGGTCTTGGATTCCAGCTCGGGAAGATGGGAAATGATGGGTTAAGCATGGTAGATCAGGGAATGTTAATAACAGTACAACATCAAAATATTTTTTTTGTTTTATTAGCATTATTATTAATAATAAACCATAAATATCCCGTTTCGATTATTTCGTGGTTTACTTACCTTTTCCGTGATGCTCTTCAATGTAAGGATACAGATAAGCTTGCCATAACTAGCAAAATGGCATTGTACTCATCCATCTATAGCTTTAAATTATACTAAACATAAAAAATAACAATACTTACACTGTTTTATTACTCGTATAACCGCTAACATAATCTTGAGTATCAGTCAATAAAAACAATATTTTAGAATTAACACTATATTAAGCATCTGGAAGCGGGCAACGCAGGAACGGTAAAGTCCGGTCGCCGAGCACGTAATTCTCGCGACTGTGCGACGGGCGGCCGCAGTGAGTGAACGAGACAGATAAGGATGGTTAGCTTGGGGTCATTGGACGAAATTCTACATGCTCGGCGACCGGCCTTTAGTGCTTTGCAAATGCGACTAACACGAGTTAGTAGCCGTGGGCGAGGGCCCTTAGTGGACGTCCTTTGACTGATTGACGCATTACCGGTCGTTGTATTAATCCTTGAGGTCTTCGTCGAGTAGTTCCTTAGCTGAAACTTAGTAAAGCCGAACGTCCACCGCCGACTAAACTAAATGAAAACTAAACTCAGTGAACTATGCTAAGCTAAACTAGAACTACGTTGTCCGTCCACCAATAAATAAGCTAAAACTACGTTAGTGGTGGTCAGTTTGTGCTAAAGCCTGGTCCGTGAGCACGTAGAATTTTGTCCAATGACCCCAAGCTACCCATCCTTATCGCTTGCTCGTAATAATATTGCTGTCGCGACTGTGCGACGGGCGCCCGTAGTGAGTGTGCGAGCGCGACAGCAACATAATTACGCGCGAGCGATAGGGATGGGTAGCTTGGGGTTATTGGACAAAATTCTACGTGCTCACGGACCAGGCTTTAGAACGTCAAGTTAACCTAGGTAAGTTAGTTCCACTTAGCTGAAGCATTTCACGTAGCTTAGCTGGCATAGTTTACGGTGGACGCACATGAAAAACTGGCTCAACTATGCGAGCTAAGCTAAACTAACTTACGCCCGTATTGTGTGTGCCCAAGTGAAGCAGCAAATCGAACGCACGGCGTTGAATAGAGCTCTGTGATTGGTTCGTGTGTCACCCTGTGCGTCCACGTGCACTGTGAGACCTCATAGTAATGTTTGTGAATATGGGCGTTAGTTTAGCTGGCGGTGGACGTTCGGCTTGATGATGAGATTTTCAACCTCTGCCTCACCTTCTTCAGCGAGGTCCCGTGGCTCGGCGCAGCGGTGTGGAAGGCGTGCTTGCAGCGCGGACACACGGCGCGCGCGGCCCAGTGCCGGCACATTATTGTCGGCCGTTTGGTGTAGTGGTTCAGAACGGACTACTATGCCGAGAGGTCCCGGGTTCGATTCCCGGCCGGGCAGAAATTGAAATGATGAATTTTAATTTCTGTGTCGGGTCTGGGTGTGACTATGTATAATATGTATGTATTAAAAAAAAAGTATATAAGTAGTATATCCGTTAAGCTAGCACCCATAACACAAGCATTAAGTTGCTTACTTTGGGCCTAGCTGGCGCTGTGTGAAATTGTCCAAAGATTATTTATTTATTTATCTATTATGGCTTGCAGGATGGACGCGAAGGGAGTGACGCCGATGCCCGCTGGCTCAACTAACTTAGTTTAGCCGGCGGTGGACGTTCGGCTTGATGATGAGATTTTTAACCTCTGCCTTACCTTCTTCAGCGAGGTCCCGTGGCTCGGCGCAGCGGTGTGGAAGGCGTGCTTGCAGCGCGGACACACGGCGCGCGCGGCCCAGTGCCGGCACATTATGGCTTGCAGAATGGACGCGAAGGGAGTGACGCCGATACCGGCTGGCTCAACTATGGGAGCTAAGCTAAACTAACTTAGTTTAGCCGGCGGTGGACGTTCGGCTTGATGATGAGATTTTCAACCTCTGCCTTACCTTCTTCAGTGATGTCCCGTGGCTCGGCGCAGCGGTGTGGAAGGCGTGCTTGCAGCGCGGACACACGGCGCGCGCGGCCCAGTGCCGGCACATTATGGCTTGCAGGATGGACGCGAAGGGAGTGACGCCGATACCGGCAGCGACCAGCGCCGCGTGCTGTGCGCCGAAGATGTGGGAAGACGCCGCGCCGTACGGACCGTCCAGGAATATCTGGGATAGACGGAATAGTCATAATGAGGGCTATCGTTTTTATACTTAGCAGTTGGCACCCCTGGCGATTGACAGGACCTTACTCTACAGTGGCGCCATCGTGATGAGTGCAAATGCGATAGTCCTCCTACCACTTTAGCACTCACCAGTTGGCGCCACTGTCTTCGCTACTAGCAAGTGACAGGACCTTACTCTACAGTGGCGCAAACTGGTGAGCGCTAAAACGATAGCCCGCATTGGTCTTTTATTTTCTGCAAACAGACTTTTAGAAAACGCTTTTACTCGATTATAGATAAAAAGATACTCTTCTTTGTACAGTCAGTGTCAAATGGTTCGTGACAAAATAGCCAAAAAGTTCGCAACACATCTCTGAATGAGGGTTTTCGCGATTGAAGAATCCGCCAGATGGCATGGATGGATTTTGACATATCTGTCAATGTCATGTCAAAAATAACCAATCACGCAGCATTTGGACCTCGCGTCTACGTATTGCCATCTGACGGATTTTTCAATCGCGAAAACCCTCATTAAGGTCGTGTTATCAACTTTTGGCCACTTTGGATGTCACCAACTATTTGACGCCGACTATACACAACAAAAACAGACAAAAGACAAATCAATTGATGAACTCCATTACCAAGTGAGAATACCATTGTTACTTAGATAATACAAAAAAAGCTTTTGGCTTTAATGTAGTTAGTTCGAAAGATTATCTAGAGATGGCGTTGTATGTTGTTTACTTCGCGATACTATCAATTTTTTTAAAGAAGGCACTTTGAGACTTCTAAATAAATTGAGTTTTATACTGAACTACTACTTGTTTTATTAACTTTTTGACTACCTATCCTCACCGGGCAAACACATAGACCCAGTTGTAGTAAAACATTACCTACCAAAATATTTTTGTAACAGTTGATAAAGACAAGAAATGGCTCGGAAACGTGGCCTCTCACTATAGGCCTTATACAGAAGCTCAAAGTTGCACAGCGTGCTATGGAGAGGGCTATGCTTGGTGTTTCTTTGCGAGATCGAATCAGAAATGAGGAGATCCGTAAACGAACCAAAGTCGCTGACATAGCCCGACGTATTAGCAAGCTGAAGTGGCAGTGGGCAGGGCACATAGTACGCAGAACTGACGGCCGATGGGGCAGAAAGGTTCTGGAATGGAGGCCGCGCACCGGAAAACGCAGCGTGGGACGTCCACCTACAAGGTGGACCGACGACATCGTAAAGGTAGCAGGTAAGCGCTGGACGCAGGCCGCTACCAATCGATCAATATGGAAAGCATTGGGGGAGGCCTATGTTCAGCAGTGGACGTCCTATGGCTGAAATGATGATGATGATGATGAGTCGCTAGTGGCGAGCACACCTTAACGTAAACTCATGGTAAGCACACTGATCATCTATTAACTGACCTCCAAAGGTTTCCCAATGGGATAGTCCATAGACGTCCCGTCACTCGAGGATTCTGACGGGCTCACCACGTTGATGACCGGCTTGTCAGCCACCGACTCCACGTCCTTGTCCGGCGACAGGCTCTTTGACAACCTTCTTCTAGCTGTAACAGATTATTATTATTATTTTATATGAATTTTACAGTGAGTTTTCTTTGTAGTGTAGATGATCTACAGCGAGTGTGTAGAGTGGCTGACCAACAGTGATTATGGAATAATAATAATAATAAATACTGTTTATTGTTTATTGCGTCCCTGGTGACGCTCTTTTCAAAATGGTTCCTACAGAATACCAGCATCATGTTCTTTACGGAATATGATAGGAAGCTGAGTAGGAGCCATTTTGGTTCAACAATTCATTTATAATTATTATCCAAATTGTGTTAAATTACTATGTTTGAACCAAATAAACAATTTTTCTTCTTTCTTTCTCTTTATTGCACACCAATGAACAGAACAGAAAAAAGAAACACATGGACAGGTACAACTAGGCGGTCTTATCGCTAATAATGTGAATGTGAAGTAAAGGAATGTGAGTTATCTACAGTGAGTGAGAAGTGAGGATAGATAGATAGGATAGCCAACAGTGAAAATGTGACTGAGCTACAGGGAGTATAAAATTAAGTTGACCTACTGCGAATAACTTTTTGTGACCTGCTGCGAGTGACCTCCTGTGAGCAACTACCTGTGGAAGGATGCGCGGCGCGCATTGCGCGCTGTGACCTGCTGTGTTCTGGTCACGTGGTGCGGGCAGCGCGACGGCAGCCGGCTTGGTGCGCAGGTAGCGGAAGGAGTGCGCGAGCGAGTGACCCGCTGTGACCTGTGACCTGCTGTGACTCGCTGTGACCCGCTGTGACCCGCTGTGACCCGCTGTGCCCCGCTGTGACCTGCTGTGACCGACCTATGGTGAGTATGCTGTCGTTGCTACGTCGCCGGTCCTGGTCACGTGGCGCGGGCAGCGCGACGGCAGCCGGCTTGGTGCGCAGGTAGCGGAAGGAGTGCGCGAGCGAGTGACCCGCTGTGACCTGTGACCTGCTGTGACTCGCTGTGACCCGCTGTGACCCGCTGTGACCCGCTGTGACCTGCTGTGACCGACCTATGGTGAGGATGCTGTCGTTGCTGCGGCGCCGGTCCTGGTCACGTGGTGCGGGCAGTGCGACGGCGGCCGGCTTGGTGCGCAGGTAGCGCAAGGAGTGCGCGAGCGAGTGACCCGCTGTGACCTGCTGTGCCCCGCTGTGACCTGCTGTGACCTACCTCATCATCATCATCATCATTTCAGCCATAGGACGTCCACTGCTGAACATAGGCCTCCCCTAATGCTTTCCACGTTGATCGATTGGTAGCAGCCTGCATCCAGCGCTTCCCTGCTACCTTTACGATGTCGTCAGTCCACCTTGTAGGTGGACGTCCCACGCTGCGTTTTCCGGTACGCGGCCTCCATTCCAGAACCTTGCTGCCCCATCGGCCGTCAGTTCTGCGTACTATATGCCCTATGTGACCTACCTATGGTGAGGATGCTGTCGTTGCTACGTCGGCGGTCCTGGTCACGTGGTGCGGGCAGCGCGACGGCAGCCGGCTTGGTGCGCAGGTAGCGGAAGGAGTGCGCGAGCGAGTGACCCGCTGTGACCTGTGACCTGCTGTGACCCGCTGTCACCTGCTGTGCCCCGCTGTGACCTGCTGTGACCTACCTATGGTAAGTATGCTGTCGTTGCTACGTCGCCGGTCCTGGTCACGTGGTGCGGGCAGCGCGACGGCGGCCGGCTTGGTGCGCAGGTAGCGGAAGGAGTGCGCGAGCGAGTGACCCGCTGTGACCTGTGACCTGCTGTGACCCGCTGTGACCTGCTGTGCCCCGCTGTGCCCCGCTGTGACTCGCTGTGACCTGCTGTGACCTGCTGTGACCTGCTGTGACTCGCTGTGACCCGCTGTGACCTGCTGTGACCTGCTATGACCTACCTATGGTAAGTATACTGTCGTTGCTACGTCGCCGGTCCTGGTCACGTGGCGCGGGCAGCGCGACGGCGGCCGGCTTGGTGCGCAGGTAGCGGAAGGAGTGCGCGAGCGAGTGACCCGCTGTGAGCTGTGACCTGCTGTGTCCCTCTGTGACCAGCTGTGACCCGCTGTGACCCGTTGTGACCTGCTGTGCCCCGCTGTGACCTACTGTGACCTGCTGTTACCCACTGTGACCCACTGTGACTCGCTGTGACCCGCTGTGACCTGCTGTGACCTGCTATGACCTACCTATGGTAAGTATACTGTCGTTGCTACGTCGCCGGTCCTGGTCACGTGGCGCGGGCAGCGCGACGGCGGCCGGCTTGGTGCGCAGGTAGCGGAAGGAGTGCGCGAGCGAGTGACCCGCTGTGAGCTGTGACCTGCTGTGTCCCTCTGTGACCAGCTGTGACCCGCTGTGACCCGTTGTGACCTGCTGTGCCCCGCTGTGACCTACTGTGACCTGCTGTTACCCACTGTGACCCACTGTGACTCGCTGTGACCCGCTGTGACCGGCTGTGACCTGCTATGACCTACCTATGGTAAGTATACTGTCGTTGCTGCGTCGCCGGTCCTGGTCACGTGGTGCGGGCAGCGCGACGGCAGCTGGCTTGGTGCGCAGGTAGCGGAAGGAGTGCGCGAGGGCGTGACCCGCTGTGACCTGTGACCTGCTGTGCCCCACTGTGACCTGCTGTGCCCCGCTGTGACCCCCTGTCACTTGCTGTGACCTGCTGTGCCCCGCTGTGACCCGCTGTGACCTGTGACCTGCTGTGACCTGCTATGACCCACTATGACCTACCTATGGTAAGTATACTGTCGTTGCTGCGTCGCCGGTCCTGGTCACGTGGTGCGGGCAGCGCGACGGCGGCCGGCTTGGTGCGCAGGTAGCGGAAGGAGTGCGCGAGCGCTCGCAGCTGAGGGCTGCGGTAGGCGCCGGTGACTCGCGCTGAGCGAAGCGAGCGCAGGTCGAAGCTGTTCTCCGACTCGGAGCGCATGTAGTCGCGTAAGCTGTGAGATATCAACATCAGGTCATTTATTCTCAGAGCGTTGTTTATGCCCGTTTTTACCATCAATCCCTAATTTTTAAGTGACCCCTCGTTCGTTTCAGTCGAAAGACCTCCATTGCTGGACAGAAGCCCTATGATTTCCACAAAGACCGGTCCTGCGCTGCTCGCATCCAGGTTCTTCCCGCGACTTTCATCAGATCGTCGGTCCACCTAGTGGGAGGCCTGCCCACGCTGTCTTTCGGCTCGTGGTTGCCACTCAAGAACTTTTCTGCCCCGGCGAAAAATTTTTTAGCTCTACGACCTATGTTATCTGCCCACTGCCACTTGATTTTAGCAACTCTGCGAAGTATGTCGGTCACTTTGGTTCTCCTCATTTCTGATTCGATCCCGCAGGGAAACTCGGAGCAAAGCCCGCTCTATCACCCTTTGGGGGACCTTGAGCCTTCTTATGAGGCCCATTGTAAGCGATCAAGTTCCCGAGTGACGACCACGGGCCGGAAGACGTAGTGTGGGGGAGGCCCCCCCACTAGGTGGACTGACGATCTGGTGAAGGACGCGGGAAGTGCCTGGATGCGGGCAACGCAGGATCGGTGGTTGTGGAAATCCTTGAGGGAGTTCTTTGTCCAGCTGTGGACATCATTAGGCTCATACGAACGAAAGAAAGGGAAAGATCGCCGCACTTTCGTGAATGTTGTAAGAGGTGACTAAGGGACAAATACGTGAACATACGGCCTCCCCAAACCGTCTGGCCAGCGTGAGGAGTGTAGGTAGGAAGTCAAATCCACCATTTGCCTCAGGTAAATTGGAAAGAATCGTATTTCTGCAGTTGAGCTTAAAATACTTGATGATGCAGATGAACCTCCACGAAATATATTGAAAAGCAACTTACACTAGCAGTCTCTGTTTCTTTTTCTGGTTGTTCATCACATCTGGCATCGAGCGGGACTTTTCCAGTTTCTGCGGCGTTAGGAAAACAGCACTACGCACCGCTGGGGATAACACTGAAAACACCACATTAGCAGATTTATTATTGAACTCAAATAAAGCCACTAAAACAGGTGAATAAAGGAACGATGAAATATTAATGGGGAAACAGAAGTCCTGATGAGTGTTTTAACATACCAGAACGATAGATACGTACGACCAACACGTCATCGGTCTCACAAATTAGCTAGGTCTCACAAAATCTGTAGAAATTTCTGGTTGCGGAATCTTAAAACCCTACCTTTAAGGTCTCCATTGGGCTTCTCTTCCTCGATGCTGAAGCCGTCATTCACGTATCCAACCGGCGAGAAGTCCACGGAGCGCTTCTTGAGCCCCAGCGAGCCCTTGCGCTTGCTCACGTTGCTCTGGCTCGAACTGGTGCGGGCTACTTTACTGCCGGATGGATGAAGAAGGAGTTTGAAAATTTTTTTGGTTTGGTTCTTAGACATCAAGCCTAGCAGACTACAAACTTTTAGCCGGCCTATAGTTGGTTCGGCCACAGAATAATAATAAGTACCTACTACGTACAGAAGTTTTACTTCGCGAAGGTATTTAAAAAATGTATGCTCAATGTCATTAACAATATGGTGTAATTTAGCCTGTCTCAAGAGTCAAGCACCATTTTGTTGACAAATTAACGTCAGTGATCGGCACTGCGCCGAAGCTATAGGGCTGACTTCGGTAAAATGATGTGACGTGAGGTGCCAAACTGCGGAAAATGGCGGAGGAAATACATGATTTAGCATGAATTATCATGAATAATATTAACTACTTATTTACCTCTCAGTGTCTTGAGGCAACTTAAAAAAGTACATTCTGTGTTTTTATTATTATTTAGGCAGTTAAATATTGCACAGTATTTAGTACACCATTTTCTTTATTTTTTTCCATCATACACAAGAATACGCGTGCGTGAGTCAATGTTCGCTCGTATGTGAGGCCTTGTCGAATAGTATCCTGTAGGTGGGCCATCGTGCGTGTTTTGTTTTCGATGTAAACTCGCGGAGATGAACAGGCCTGGTTCGGCTTCCAATTTGTATGAGGAATCGGCCGATACCAAATCGGCGTAATGTGCGCACTTCCATACATGTTCTACATGATCATACTGATTAACAGCCCAACCAAACTATCAGCCGACAAAAAGTCTGCAGTCTGTGGGGTTTCTTTACAAGAATGCAAGATGGAACAAGTATCTAAATTGAGTAAGAAAAATATGCTTGGGATTAAGTTGTGTACTGCAACAGCGTTTGTTATAATTTCATGAATAGACAAGAATTTCATGAATAGTCACAAACTTCTTTACCTACATGATAGTTGCTCCAAGATGTACAGCGATGTCAACAACTGTAGATGTGGATGTAGTTAGTGGAAATTTTAATAGTGTTGACCGCTTAAGATACACATTTCTGAGCATTTACTGGTGAAGGTCGCGGTAAGAAGCTGGATGCGGGCAACACATGACCGATCGTTGTGGAAATCTTTAGGAGGTATTTGTTCGGAGAATGTCATTTGGCTGAAATGATGACAACTTTATAACAATGAATGGAAATGGACTCACTCGTGCACTGCGTTAGAGCCGTGCAATCTTGCGTGTTCCTGCTCGAAGTACTCGTACAGGCGGTTGGTCCACTCGCCCACGCCGCGCACGTGCAGCCAGATGTGCTCTAGAAGAAACAATAATACGTTACAATGAATTTTCACGATACAATGAATACAAGAAATACCTGTAGGAAAACAAAGGTAACCGACCATTGTTCGCAGAGTTACCAAACTTAGGCCCGATTCGACAAAACTTTTATCCGAGAATAACTCCTAGTATAACTGGCACATTTACAGTTTCAGTATGGAAAATATGTCAAAATGACAAGTTTATTCTGAGATTAATATTATTACTCTTGTTTGGTTGAATCCATCCCAAGAGCATATAGTAGTTAGCTTGTATAACTGAGCTGAGTTGTTGAGGCAGAAAATTTTTGGAGTGACGAAAACATATTGGTGGACTACTCGGTGGACCGACGATCTGGTAAAGTCCGGGAATTATCTGGATTTAGGTAGCACAAGGATCGTTCGTTCTCGAAGCAGTGATAGGGTTAACACTGAAAAGTGTAAAAGTGCTTTTTAACTACTACTTTGCTTTTTAAAGACTACTTGCAAAAATATTCCCACCGCTGCAACTCCTGTGTAGCCAGGATCTACAACTTGACCGCCAATAAAAACTTAAGTAACCAGTGACGGTCAAGTTTGTCCGGGGGAAAGTTGAACTGTCATTGGACCCGCAACGAAATTAATCAGAAGAACATAGCCTAGGTAGCCTGCAAAAATAAAATGAGTTTAATCTGACTCACCGGTCTGTTCAGGTGCACTACTGATGGTGAAGGGATGCCACTCGTAGGCGGCGACGGCCGGCACGTTCACAAACACGTAGTCGCCCGCTCGGAACTCGAAGTGCGGCGGACGCTTCACCACCAGGTGTGTGACGCGCGATGGAAGAAGGATACCGGAGGATATGTAGCTCTTGCCGTGTTCAGACCTAAGGGGAATAAGGAGGAATTTGGTGAAACCCATTTTGATGCTCGTTTACTGTCAAGTCCACTTTTCAGTGCACCAGAGACTGACAACTTTAAGACTTGGAATTTGTGCCATAAACATTGGTTTCATTAACCACTGGCCCATAAACCTGATCGATTCCATTAACTCAGGATTCCGGGATTTGTCACCAAGATGAGCACATAATAAAAAGATAGATAAATGCACCAAAGTGAGATACACCAAATACAAAGATAATATAAAAAGAACATGATTCTTAGCTTGAGAAAGAAAATTCTTGAAGCTGTACGCTTAGGTGGTGCCAGTTTGTGGTTTTTGATAGCAGGAGGGACTGCTATCAAAAACCAAAGAGCCAATTTTAGATTTTAAGTGACACTCAAAAGAATCGTTGGATGGCAACCAGAAACTTTAAAGGTACAGATTGTAAATAAGATCAAGAATACAGCATATCACCACACCAATAAGGAGAACCAACGACCTCATAAAGGTAGCAGGAAGGCGCTGGCTGCAGGCCACTACCAACCGGGCTCGGGCGATGTGGAAATCATTGGGGGAGGCTTATTCTTCTACACACCGAGGTGGATACAACTTTCTGCACGATCTCCCGCCATCTCTCTCTGTTGGCAGACTGTCTGGTGTAGACACATACGCTGTCTCCCATTGACACTATACACGTCTGTGGCTGAAATGATGTGACCTCACCTCATCCACACGAGGCGCACGACCCGTTCGATGACGTAGACGGTGCCCGGCAGCACGAACCACTTCCAGAAGTTGGGCCCGTGGAACAGAAGCAGCACCCAGAACGGGATGTACAGCAGGTGCGTCCAGTAGAACACCTGATATCATAAAAACAGAAAATCATGTAGGTATTTGTTTATTTATAACAACATTTGACACGTGATCAATGATGATTGTGATGTTTTTTCCTTCTTCCTCTTATTCTGTATCATCGGTTTATTCTGATGTCAGATCAAATACTTTAGTGGGTGTATAACAGCAGGGCGATGCAATCTTAGCGATTAGGGAAAACCAATCTAAAAACCCGAGTGCGAGGTCAGTCACTATTCACATAATATATACGTTAAAATATTTATGCATGTACTGTACGTACAGTACAATAGAAATAGAGATGAAATTTGAAATAGAAGAAACGGGACTATTCCCACCTCTCGTTCCCACCACTGCAACTCCTGTGTAGCCAGGATCTACAGCTTGACCGCCACAAAAACCCAACCAATGAAGGTCAAGTTTGTCCCGGGGGAAAGTTAAACTGTCATTGGACCCGCAACGAAATTAATCAGAAGAACATAGGAGAGTTCGAAATTAAGGTTCGACTTCCCTCCATTGCAAAGCGGATGACAGGTGACAAACAAAGGTTTAAAACCTTTAAGAAAAAGATTATGCACCACGGACAATAAATTAAATTAAGGGGGCCTATCTTATGAGCAATTAGCAACTACCTGCCAATAATATTTTTCACAAAATCGCTTAAAAGCACGGAAATTTTTCCTTGTCGCGACAAGATCGGTGTAATAAATTGCGGAAACAGATGTATGTTGTATTGAATTAAGCATTATATCACGTTCATGTTTCCAAAGATCACACTCCCACAAGATATGATGGGTCCGATAGTTGTACGCGTTTACAAGACGATGGCGACACATTTGTTGGAGATAATGCTTCGCTACGTGTCCTTTTTCCTACACTAGGCGGAGAACGTTGCGTTAAATTGCTACGGAGAAACACTTCGTTAGCGACGTCGACGGGTTGATCGTTGAACAGAGGCATGACGGACGAGTTTTTAGTCGGGCGCAATGGAAACGCGCACCGCTGACGCAGCGCGCTTACGGTCGACCCGCCACCTCGGTTGGCGCGGGCCGATTTTATCAAACACCCGCAACGAGAGAAAATAAAAAAGATGTTTACTCACCGAATATTTAACCAGAAAACACAAACGAGGCGATAAATAAACAGAATAACTTACAGTTTCCGTAGTTCGTGTCACATACAAACCGATTATTACACTCACAAACACTTATAAGCGATTTATCTATTTTTATAAGCAAAAACTCCCGAGAGCTCCGTACGCTAGCACTACACCGTGCGGGGCGGGGGGGGAAGCACGAAATATTTCACGTTGAAATAGAAGAAGTGGATGTCGAAGTGGAAGTCGAAGTTACAGTCGAAATGAAAACTGAAATGGTGATCGAAGTTGAACTTGTATTGGAAGTCGCAGTCGAACTAGAATAGAAAAGGAAATGGAAGCAGAAGTAGAAGTTAAAATACACGACAAGGTAGAAGTAGAAGTAAAAATTAAAATAGAAGTGAAACTGAACCTCACCTCAAAACTCCCCCCTCGCCTAATACACGGCTGGCTGCAACCGAATACAATGGCCAATACTAGGCACAGCGCAACACCCGTGGGGTTGGCGCAGCCTGACACCAGACCGAACAGCCCCGGCCGTGACGTCAGCAGCCATTCGTTCAGCGTGTAGTTATTGGCGTTGGTGATTGGGTCGTTGACCACGATTAGACCTGGGAATAAAAACTCATTTATTTATGCATGTAGGCTTTAAAAAAGCACTTTTACATGTCCCAGTATTAACCCTACCACTGCTTCAGGACAATAAATGGGCCAGTGCTGAGAAGAAGCAGCGCAAGAAACTCAGTCACATACTAATAGTCGTTGTAATATTTTTTTGGTTTTGTGAGCGGACTGGTTAGACGGTTTGTTAACGTGGTGCAGTAATTCGCTTCACTGCTTCTGCCGCTACTCACGTTGGAAGATTTAATGAAGGCTACTGACAACGCCATTCTTGTGGCGGAGTTTTGGGCTGACGCTGTCTAGTTTTGTTATCGACACAAGAAGAAGAAATTGTTTGTTTTATGTTAAACAAAATAGAAATAAGTTAAAGCAGCCCGCCACCAGCCCGAACAGCCCCGGCCGTGACGTCAGCAGCTCGTTCAGTGTGTAGTTGTTAGCGTTGGTGATGGGGTCGTTCACCACGATTAGACCTGGGAATAAGTTCATACTAGTTTTGAAGACTTGTTTTTTGTGACAACGACAAGGTGGAATAAAATGGAAATCAAAATCAAAATGGAAGTAACTACACTCGCGAGCAAAACTATGGAATCACTTACATGAAGTTGTTTTCACGCGAACTTGTGTACTAACGAATTTGTTAGGAACAAAAAAAGTGGCACCATTTTAAAGATTAAACTTTTATCTTTAAATTGATACCAGTATTTAAAAAGATATCCCGGCTGATGTGAAGAAGTAACGAAAAAGACATGTATGAACTGTTTGATACGTCGCGAGTTGCGGCCTATTTACCCCCTATCAAAGCATGCGTTTTTAGATTTTTGCTTTCACACGTTGATTCATAAACATCTCCGCTTCTTTTGACACTTTACCTGGGATTCTACACCTTCAGAAGCAGCACAAATCGTTGCACTATTGCAAGAAAGGCTCAGCCAGCGGGCTGTCGCACGTCAGCGCCACATAAGCCAGTCCTGGGTTTCGAAAGTTTCAAGACGCTTTCGGGAGACTAGTGGCTTTATCCCGAGACCAGGTTCTGAACAGCGCCGGTGCACATCGCAGAGGGAAGACCGTTTTTACATGTCAACCTCTCTATGAAATCGTCATTTGACTGGAATCGATGTCCATCAAGAGCTCAGAAATGTTCGTAAGATAGCTGTTAGCGAGTGGACAGTTCGTCTAAGATATAAGCAATAGAATTTGACTCCAAAAAGGCCTGCCACAATCTCAAAACTGACGGCAGGTCACCGATAAGCACCCTTTCAATTTGCTCGTAAACATCTCGATGTTAAGTCGAGCAAGCCACCCCCATAAGCCACTGTTTCAGCGACAACTTTTTTTGTTCCTAACAAATTCGTTAGTAAACAAGATCGCGTGGAAACAACTTCATGTAAGTGATTCCATACTTTTGCTCGCGAGTGTAGAAGTGAAAGTCGAAGACGAAAAATTTGCCGATTCTTCGCCAACCCGCCTGCCAAGCGTGGCGATTAGGGCAAAACCCTCCATGGTTGTACAAACTTCAAATTCACAACAGCAAAATCAGTTCACGTCTTTTTCGTTGCTTGTCTCCGAATTCCGCATCATTGGAAAAAGGCACTTACTGAAGTTACAAAGGTGCATGATGGTATGAACCACGCTGTATACAGTGTGAGTCACGTTAAAGTGTACATATGAAAATAGATGAAACTAGATCTATTTTTATCGACAAAAAAGGGGTCAAAAAATTTTTGAGATTTTTTTAAAAAAAATTATAGAATTTTTTTTCTTCCTATTACTTATTGTAAAGAAAACGTAATAACTTTTAAACTAAGCGGTATATCCTGATAAAATAAAAACAGTAATAATGCTAAATAACAGGCAATACTAAAAAAATACATGAAATACCTAGAAAATGCCAACAAATAATAAAAAATGATACTTTTTGAAAAAAATCTGCTAAAAAATTCGTATTTTTTTGGTTATTTGATAAATTTCTCCAAAAAATGCCCCTAAAACAGGTAGTTTTTATTACTTTTTATTATTCTCTGTCGTATTACTTTTGTAAAACCAAAAATTGCATGTCTCTATCCCTATCACAACGTTTGCAATGATCGTTTGAACTAAGCCTCTCCGGGCGCGCCATTCAACGCTTCATTAACAACGGAACTGAAAGTGACTCTAGATTTGTAATTTTGATAAAGACAAGTTAGATTTTAAATAAAAACAAAAGATTTCGAAGTAAAATAAGCATTTGAGTTAAAATTAAAATTGTCTCTACCTGTAGCGGAGAAAAATGTGGTGGCAGGCCTTTGTTCAAACGATCATAGCAAATGTTGTGATAGGGATAGAGACATGTGATTTTTAGTTTTACAAAAGTAATACGATAGAGAATAATAAAAAGTATAGCCTGACCAGGAACATAAAAACCCTGGCATAGAGGCGCGTCAATTGCATTTGATAGTGCAACACTGAGTACAGTCGTACCTATGTTAAATTAATAGGCTAACTTTATGTATCAGGATTCAGGATTACGGGCTAATTTGATATTTTCATAAATTAACGAAAAAATATTATTATAGGTAACCTGGTTTAAATAAATTAAATGAAACCATCAATCGAGCTAGTAGGATTTATTTTATTATTCATCAATAATAAAATTCAGAACTCGAATATTCAACGGCAATGTTTGCTCATGAACGCTTCAAACTCGGTACTTCTTTCCCAATTCCATAAAATTCAACACTTAGAAAGTGACAAATAATTTTAAAATAGGTAGTTGAAACAAACCACAGCTAATTTTCATAGTGGACTGTACTATGCGATAAACATGTCAGTCAATTTGACAACCTTTGACGGAAACATTATTCAATGAAAATATTGTCCGAACCCTTAGTATTTCTCTTCGACAAATACTTTAACACATTGTAAACCACTTTTCTTTCACGACTATAAAAATATTTTAGCAATTTAATTCACAAAATCAATTGCGCACAATTAAAATAAAGTTTGTTTACACTTTGACAGCAATAGACTGACATGCAAGGTGACATGACAATGAAGTTTTCAGTTACTGTTGCCATTAAAAGAAATTAGTACCATTAGTTTTCCGCAACATGGCGAGGGTTTTTATGTTCCTGGTCAGGCTATAATAAAAACCATATGTTATAGGGGCATTTTTTGGAGAAATTTATCAAACAACCAAAAAAATACGAATTTTTAAGCAGATTTTTTTCAAAAAGCATCATTTTTTTTATTTGTTGGCATTTTTTGTGTATTTTTTGTATTGTTTTAGTATTACCTGTTATTTAGCATTATTACTGTTTTTATTTTATCAGGATATACCGCTTAGTTTAAAAGATATTACGTTTTCTTTACAATAAGTAATTGGAAGAAAAAAAATTCTATAAAAAATTAAAAAAAAATATCAAAAATTTTTTGACCTCTTTTTTGTCGATAAAAATAGGTCTAGTTTCATCTATTTTCATATGTACACTTTAACGTGACTCACACTGTATAGCCACGAGTACCCCAGTGAGCTTGTGCAGGTAGATGTGGTGGTCGAGCGGCAGCGCATCCTCCTGTAGCTAGCATGATGACATCATCTTTGGCCGATCTGAAAAGTCCTTCAAAAGTGGACGACCCGTAGCTGTAATGTTTAACTTACTGAAGTTGCACAGGTACATGATGGTATGAACCACGCTGTATATAGCCACCAGGACCCCGGTGAGCTTGTGCAAGTAGATGTGGTGGTCGAGCGGCAGCTACTAAAGGTCATTAGAGAAGATCCATGTCCATCATGACATTCTATGACTGACATGATGATGACGAAATGTTTACTTTACTGAAGCTTCGACTTACTGAAGTTGCAAAGGTGCATGATGGTATGAACCACGCTGTATATAGCCACCAGGACCCCGGTGAGCTTGTGCAGGTAGATGTGGTGGTCGAGCGGCAGCGCGGCGGAGAGCAGAAATAGCTAGACGGTTTAGCAAATAGAGGAAGGGAAGAGATTAAAAGAAGTCGTTGGATACAGGCTGCTTCCAACCAGCTGATCTGAAAAAGCTTTCAAGAGTAGACCACTCTTGGGTGGCTGTAATGAAAATGAGGTCTGACTTACTGAAGTTACACAGGTGCATGATGGTATGCACCACGCTGTATACAGCCACCAGGACCCCGGTGAGCTTGTGCAGGTAGATGTGGTGGTCGTGTGGTGTGGATTAGCAAATAGAGGAAGGGAAGGGATTAAAAGAAGTCGTTGAATACCGGCCGCAGTCAACTGGTCAATCTGGAAAGGTCTGTGATCAGCAGTGGACGTCTTGTGTCTGAAATGATGATGGCGAAATGTTTTTCTTCGACTTACTGAAGTTACAAAGATGCATGATGGTATGCACTACACTATTATAGACAGCCACCAGCACCCCGGTGAGCTTGTGCAGGTAGATGTGGTGGTCGAGCGGCAGCGCAGCTAGCATGATGACGTCATCTTTGACTTACTGGATGCAAGCTGCTTCCAAAAGGCCGATCTGAAAAGGCCTTCAAAAGTGGACGACCCGTAGCTGTAATGATGATCTAATATCTGACTTACTGAAGTTACAAAGATGCATGATGGTATGAACCACGCTGTATATGTATAGCCACCAGGACCCCAGTGAGTTTGTGCAGGTAGATGTGGTGGTCGAGCAGCAGCAGACGCCTTGTGGCTGACGATGGTGACTAATTGATGATGCTAATGTTTAACTTACTGAAGTTACACAGGTGCATGATGGTATGTATGACGCTGTATATAGCCACCAGTACTCCGGTAAGCTTGTGCAGGTAGATGCGGTTGTCAAGCGGCAGCGGACACCTTGTAGCTGTAATGATGATCTAATATCTGACTTACTGAAGTTACAAAGGTGCATGATGGTATGCACCACACTGTATATAGCCACCAGCACCCCGGTGAGCTTGTGCAGGTGGATGTGGTGGTCGAGCGGCAGCGACTAAAAGCCATTGGGAGAGATTCTTTGGCTGCATAATAGTATGCACCACACTATAGATGGCCACGAGTACGCCAGTGAGTTTGTGCAGGTCGGTGTGGGGCAGCATCTTAAGTCATTGAGAGGGGAAGGATATGATATAATTTCAGACTTACTGAAGTTACACAGATGCATGATGGTATGAACCACGCTGTATACAGCCACCAGGACCCCGGTGAGCTTGTGCAGGTAGATGTGGTGGTCGAGCGGCAGCGCGGCGGAGAGCCCGCGCGCGCGCAGCTGCGTGATGCAGTGCCGCAGCATCAGCACCAGCACCCACGCGCAGTTGAAGTTCAGGCACTGGCCTGATGGAGAGAATGGAAAGGAATATAATTTATTTTATTTGAATCCAGTGCAGCAGAGCAGAATACTAAGGTATTCTGATCCTCAGTGTGCTTACCATGAGTTTACGTTAGGTGTACTCGCTAGCGACTGCGTAAAAAAATGACATTAATTAGTATGACATATTGTGCAGCGCCACATACTTTCAAGAAACAAAATCTTCATAGAGATTTTTGACGTAATCGCTAGCGAGCACACCTAACGTAAACTCATGGTAGGTACACAGATCACTCCTAATCATCCCGTGGATTTCTGGAGGAATACAATAGAATGAATCAGAGTCAGAATGTTATTTTTGTACGAGGGCTGCACTAAAAGTATCGGGAATGGAATATTTCCACTGCTCCTATCATATTAAAATCTTTTTAATTGCAAACTCCTTGATTTTAAAAACCGAATACTATTTATTTAATTAAAAAAAGATTCTCGGTCTTATCACAAGGTCTTGTGAAACTTGTTCAGTCGTTGAGAAAATGGAATTGACTCGATAAAATTCAAGAGCGACGATTTATTATGACTTTCGGAGTGGTTTAACACAAAACCAGTGTGTTGACCGGATGATTTCTGCATTTGATAATGAAGCCCCACTCCAAAACCACAATTTATCGCTGGTTTGCTGAATTTCACCGTGGACGTGTCAAGCTCAGTCATGATGCCCGTCAAGGTCGTCCAAAAACTGCAGTCACCCAAGAAAACGTTGATGTTGTGCGTAAGCTGATTGAAGAAGATCGACATGTGACATACCGCGAAATTCAGGCAACCTTAGACATTGGCATGAGTCAAATACAAATAATCTTGCATAAACAATTAGGTGTAAAAAAGTTGTTTTCCCGATGGATACCGCATTCGCTCTGTGAAGAGCAAAAAGCGGCTCGCGTTACTTGGTGCGTCAGAACTCTCGGAAGATTACATGCAGGATCCTCAAATGCTGTATACAACTTCGTATCAGGTGACGAATCCTGGATATACGCGAACGAACCCGAAACAAAAAACCAGTCACGAGTTTGGGTGTTCGAAAATGAGTTAAAGCCAACAAAAATTGTTCGTTCACGGAGTGTTGCAAAAAATATGGTGGCCACGTTTGTCTCCAAAACCGGCCGTATTGCGACTATTCCTCTTGGGAGACAAAGAACGGTTAATGCAGAATGGTATGCTAGCATTTGTTTGCCACAGGTCGTTTCTGAACTTCGTAAAGAGAACTGCAACCGCCGCATCATCCTCCATCACGACAATGCGAGTTCTCACACCGCGCACAGAACAAAAGAGTTTTTAGAGCAAGAAAACATAGAATTATTAGAGCATCCACCATACAGCCCCGACCTAAGCCCTAATGATTTCTATACTTTCCTTAAAATAAAGAATACATTGCGTGGTCAGAGATTTTTATCACCTAAAGAAGCTGTGGACGCCTACAAAACGGCCATTTTGAAGACCCAAACTTCCGAATGGAATGGTTGCTTCAATAATTGGTTTCGTGTATGGAAAAATGTGTCAAATTTCGCGGAGAATTCTTTAAAAAGCAATTAATACATTTTTAAATAGTAATGTTGTTTCACTTCCTTGATTCCCGAAATTTTCAGTGCCGCCCTCGTATTTGTCCCAGTGCAGCAGAGCAATATAGATTAACTTCCAATCTTCCCGAGGTTTTTGTGAGAGGTGACTAAGGGCTCTTTCAAATAAGATATTTAAAGTCGTACATAGGCTAATAACCGTTTGCAGAATCGCAGACGAAAAATTGTTTGATAACTGCATTCTATTCAAAAAGGGCCCTTCTGGTGTACTGTGACAACCTGGATATTCAACATCAATTCTGGATATTCTGCCATTTTTCTCACTCATCTCTTTCTCTACATTTATTTTCGAACGCCTCACGATTCTATTGGGATAGTGCCATAGCGTCACAGGGCATCGCGACATACAGTTTGGGAAGCCGTGCTTATAACAATATTATCAGCTAATACTAGTGATAAGACTATGCTAACTGATGATATGTACAAAAAATAATATTCACTCACCACAAGCTCTCGCCACAATGACGAATCCATGGTGATGTCTATACTCAATAGCCCTCGACACGAAGAGCCCGAGGTTGACCAGGAAGAACACCGCCAGATACCCCACGAACACGTAATTGTTCTTGAAGTAGGGCACCGAGAGCTGGTAGGGCTTTAGACGGTTGAGGCGCTGCAGGAAGGACGTCGGCTCTGGAGTTGGTTTTGGGGGGACGAGCCACCGGTCTATACTGGAAAGTACATAAAGTAATATAATTATTTTTAGTTGGTAACTTTTGATTACCCCTATTATATGGTGTGGAATAGATAAGGCTTAGGCGAAAATCAAACCACCTATCTTCGGAGACAAAAAATAATAAAAGGGGTAAAATTGGGGATGAAAGTATTCTTAGAAATACTTTTGATTCTCAACAGTTACAAAATAACAAGGAAATCATCGCAGGCAATGCTACTGTGGTATGGTACAATTGCCATAGCTTGTGTTGCCAGCAGATTCAGGCTAACCTGAATTTGATCGCCAGATAACTCAACCAACAATGGCCAAGTTTTGTCCCATGATTCCATTTTCATTCGAATAGTAATTACTTACCTGATGAATAAGTTCTCCAAAAGCCCATCATGCTTGGACAGCTGATGCCTTAGTGCCTCAAACGTGATGGCGCCTGTAAGATGTGGTGTAGTAGTTCGAAGGAAAACGCCCGAAGATGGAACAACGTAATTTATTGCGATTCGAAAAGTTACACGGACACGGATAAAAAAACTATAGTAGTCGCGTGCGATGTCGCGCTCGGATGGTAGCAGACTGACTTTTAAATTTCAACGCGCACGGAGCAACATCGCTCGCGGATACCCACATTTGGTACAATAAAAAATATTCAAACCATACCGATACAAAATAACGAAATAACGATATGCATATCGAAATACCAGTTATTTTAAAATTAACGTTATAAAGTGCGCGTCGTCAACACGCCCCACCCCAGTGCTGGCTCAGCACTCATCAACAATAGGAATACGTGCGACGCGCGCGGCAGATCTTTTAAAGATACCTGCTTTAGTTTTAACCTCGACCAATCTCACTCGACCATCCCTACCCGGGGAAACACCC